AACGAAACTGCCATTAGCAATAGTATTATGTTTAGAGTCCTCTTAAAAATCAAATTTCCAACATGGGAGAAAAATAATCACTTTTGAAATACAATTTATATTTTCAATGCCCAACTTGCATGAATCATTTCAAATTCTAATTTAATACTTGTCAAAAATAATATTCATAAATAATGTACGAGCTTGCATTAATTGAATAACTAAGAATTTTCAGAGTTTAATAAACAAAATAATTTCATAAATCTTTGAAATATTTTTCTTGAGGAAATAAATGCACATATCATCATCTAATTATCCATCATCAATATTTCGTAACTTCCAAAACTAACGTAATTCATAAAAGTAAAATATTTCAGTAAAAATCTATTGAAATTAGAAATAAATTAAAGGGGATGCTATTCACTTACATGTCAGAGTTCAAAATTCTCGAAGGTATCCTTCATTTAATTCTAATCAGGGTTCCGTTCTTCCTCACACCCTCAACCTAACTGAAACTAGACAGGAAAGCAAGATGAGACATGGCTCTGTATAACGAGCTAAGAGAGAGAAAGAAGAGAGGAGATCTGCTGCACGACTCCAACGTAAGAAGAGCAAGAGAACTCCAACAAACTCACAGCCACCTGAGATGGAAAAAAGAAAAATGATAAGGAAGCTTGGAGTGTTTGCACAGTTCAGTAATAGCAAGATATGGGAGAATGACATGAAAACAAGGAAGAACAGCTAGTCAATGAACGCCTTCCCATGGTGGAATTTCCAGCGTTCTCAAAGTCACCACCGATCAATTTAATGGCAGGGATGATGATAAAGGCCAAAGGGCTGGACGAAGAGGGTTCAAAGTTTCCAGTGAAATCTACAACTCTCTTGACCCACACGCATCGATCTGCTGGAAGAAGAAAACATAGATGACATATATCATATTTGAGGGAAGGGAAAGTTGGTAGTTTTGCATAGCAAAAAGGAAAAATAGCCCTACCTTTAGCCTTCATCAGATTCAAATTCGAACTTGGAACCAAATGGAGTAATACACATTTAACTGCCAACACATCAGCTTTAATTTTTATCACATTTATCCCAAGAATTAATATAATTACTATTACAACTCAAACTTATATATTAATTAATTTAATTTTAATTTTTAAATTTTTTTTTTCAAGGTTATTATAATGGTTGTCGAAGCCATGTGTATTATGTAGTTTATCTTGCCTTGTAGCTTTTGAAGAGAAAACTAGAGATTAAAAAGAAAGAGAGAAGAAGAAAAATAAATAGACTTGAGGTCTCTAGATTTTAAAAAAATATAAGCCTAGTCAAGAAGAAGGAGAAGAAAATGAAGAAAAAAAAGTGGTAAAAGAAATATTAGAGATAAAAAGAAGATCCACATCTAGAAATTCTTCTTCATCTCCCTTTCTTTTTTATCTCTTGTTTTTTCTTTGCCTTTTGTTCTTTTTGTTTTTTTTTTGTTTGTTCTTGGTTTTTTTGTCCATGATTGTATGGCTCTTGATACCATGTTAAATTTTTTTATTAAGTATATATAATTAAAGATATTCTATTTCACTAAAATAGCTTATGCCATTTGGTGAAACACATCCCAAGTCTTATAGTTTCATTATCTATATATCTTCTAATTTCTTTATGTAGGACTTTTTTTAGGGTTAAAGGGAAAAAATACCTTGAAACTTTTTTGTGATGGGTACTTGGTATCTTGAACTTTTTTTTTTGGAATAATGTCATCCTAGAACTTTAAAAAAGGGTGCAATTTTGCCCCACTGTTAATATTGATAGTTAAATATTCTTGTTTGGCTAATAGATGCTGATGTGCTGTGTCACCATTCCTATTTTCATTTCTACTCCCTCCTACCACCCAGCTCCCTTCTCAACCAATCTAATAAGCCATGAATTTTAAGTAAAATTTAATATGTATTAATTTTTTTAATTATAATTACATTAATTCTTAGGACATTTATGATAAAAAGTAAAAGCTGGTGCAGTGGAAGCTATTCAAGTAACTCATACACTAGGTCAAAGTTTGAATCTAGTGAAGGCCAAATGAGGTATTATCTTTACTTTTTGCTCTTTGAAATTACCGAATTGCCCTTTCTTGAAATCTAAAAGATATTTCCTCTTTTTTTTCGATCATTCTAGGTCTGTCGAGAGGCGAGAAACTTTTTATTCTTTTTCATTCCTTCATTCTCCTTTGTACCTTTACCTTCTTCCCTATCGTTTTTAGTTGTCGCCTGCGTGAAGCTCACCACCATTTTGTCCATCTGCCATTGATAGGGGAAGAAGTTCGTTCTTCACTGTTGCGCAATGCCAGCTCGCCGGAGCTGATTTTGTCCCCTGTGCAGTTTGTGCTTTTTTTCTTCTTATTTTCTTTGCTGTGGTTTTAGTGCATCTGGTCTTTCACTCCCTCTAGCTTGCCTGCACGTTGATAAAGAGAACAACAGGAGTGGTTTGCTATTGATGGAAACTGGAAGCACGAGAGCTCCTCTCCCTATTCTATAGGTTTCTTCTTGTTCTTTCCCTCCTCTATTGTTGGTGGTGCTTAAGGTGAGGATTCTTGACTCTCCTTGATAATTTGGTGCAAGAGAGTGTCTGAATGGATGATTGAAATTGCAAAATTTTTCTTCTAAGTTCTACTACCCGTGACTGTTAAGGGAAGGGAAGAATGGAATTAAACTGAAATTTATGTATTGAAAGTATGATTATGATAAGTATGGTTGGAGTTTTTCAATCAAATTAATTTTTTTGAATTAGATGATGTTAAAGAATTAGTTAGGATGAATTTGAGATAGAAAAACTTGCAAATGGAATTTGGAGATTTGTGCCCATAAGATGTTTGTTAAAATTCTTGTGGGAGGGAGTTGTATGATTGTGTATTTACTAAAATCTCATTAAATTCTTTGAAAGACATAATTAGTGGGGATGTTATTATCTTATAAATTTAACTTGGAAATGGTAAAAGGAGATACATGAGTGGGTATTTTTCTATAACTTTGTTGGATCTCATAAGAAACATGGATTGACTTGGGTGTTTCTCATTTGTGAATTTGAATCGAATATTGTAAAGAAATTTATCTATGTTATCGAGAGATTAATTGGATTCTTGAGTTATGGTTCATAATTTATAAATTACAATGTTGTTTTATGATTTAATTTTGGAATGTATATTAGGTGTTTGATGCAACACGTGATGAAGGAATTGTGAAACAATTGAAAGATTAAGTGTAATGTGTGTGTGTGTGTGTGTGTGAGATTAAAATTTTTGGATATGTATGTTATAGAATTTGAAAATAGAAGTATACTCAATATGTTAGATAAGGGGAGTATTCATATGAGGTAACCATGAAATTAGAGAAGCTTTTAAGATGTGGATTTTGGTGTTTTTTGAATATTTACTATTGTAGTTGATTGGATTATCTTTATTGATTTAAATTTTCATACGTATATAAATATATTCATATAGGATATCTAGAGGAAGAGAGTGATAAAAGTTGTAAGGAGTAAGCTATAGAAGTTGGGAAGACTTATCAGGTAAGTGGATAACATCCCAATCAATTTTTATATTAGCAAATTTTCTTTTATCAAAATATTGTTTTCAACAAACTACAGTTATTAATATATATTTTTCTTTCATTAGCTATTTTTATTAATTAAATTGTTTTATTTCTTAAAGTCATGACATTTATTTAAAATATTTATGAAAATGCTTTTACATATTCTAGGACTTCTTTTTTTTGATAAAGTCAACTATAAAAATTGGTGAAAAAGTTTATGAAATATTAGTTATGAATTTTCATAATTAGAATGATTGATGGTTTATACGATTCATGCGAGTTTGGTATTAAGAATGAAAATTATATTTCAGAAATGACTATTTTTCTCGCATGTTTGAAAAGTGATTTTGAGAGGACTTTGAGTAGAACACTATTGCTAAAACAGTTCCGTTAACCCTTCGCACGCCATAGTTAATGACTAGCTAGTTTGATTTTCATGAGCTTTGTTCTCACGTTTGTTATTTATGGGTCTCATGCTCACATCTATTTTATGGTTTCAACCATATCTGGTTAGTTACCCTTATGGACAGTGTGTCCACATTTGTTCATGGTTTGAACTACATCTGATTAGTTACCCTCGTAGACTGTGAGTCTATATCTGTTTCATGGCCCTTTCTAGTTAATTACCCCATAGACTATATGTCCATGTCTGTTATCTATTCTGTAAAGTCCTCATAAGCAAATTAATTTTATTGGATTTGTGAAAAATAAACTTTCTTGTTTTTAATAGTAAATGTTTCTGTTCCTATTTAATTATTTGATTTACTTGATTTCTTAAAGCTAGGTGATAAATTGTTTATTTAATTAAAAATTTAATGCTTCAACATTTGTAAAGTTGTCAGGATATTTAAATTATCAAATTTAGTGGTCTTTTTAGTTTGTTTATAATTATATGAAAATATTCATCTATCTTCTTTTGACTTTATTATTGTAATGTTATTCACTGAAAATAATTTTGGTCTCAGATAGTGTAGCTATTGTTGAACCACCCACTAAACATTGAGGAATCTATTATTGACTAGAAGTGGAGGAGCTAAGGATTAAACTTTCTTTTGATGTAAAGTTTTAATTATAAAAGTTTATTTTGTAAACTTATTTTTAGGCGCCCCACATAGTTTGTGGCTAGGTTTTGTTGCTATATATTTTGTCTGCTAGCTAGAAGGAGCTTTGCTCTTAATTAATTTAATATTTTGGTTGAAACATTGTATTATAAAATTTTTAGAGGTTTTATTTACAGGGGAGGTTCTGTTGAAATTTTTGCAAAAAAATTGAAACTTTTATTACCAGTGAACATTATTAGAGGTGTTAAAAATTTCAATATGAATCTAAGTATGTCTTAGAAATAAATATTAAATAATAGATTGAAGTTTTCTTGACCATGGCTTAAGGAATGTATGTTTGCACATATATCTTGTGCTAGTCACGTCTAATTTTTGGGACATGACATTACTAGACCCTCACCGTCAACACACCCATGTGCCCCTCATTCACGGAGCCTCTATCGCTGCCGTCGCACCATCTTCCTCCACTACCTAACGCCACTTTGATCTGAGAAGACCACAATTCGAAGTTAAGAGCTAAACACTCCCAGGAAGGAAATGTATCAAACATAGTCAACAACGTGCCTTATACCGTAGCTAATTTGTAGGCTCATCAAGGGGGAAATAGAGTCAATTTTAAGCTAGAATTAATGGGAGAGAACAAAGTATTGATAATAATTAAAAAAAAGGACCTCCATTCCATGACATATGAACACATAAGCCCATAAAGTTTCAGCAATGGGTAGAAGCAAGTAAGAGAAAACGTTGGAGGCAATACAGTTAAACCATCACAAAACGCAAAAGCAAAATCTTGATACTAGTTAAAATGGTTTCATTGACAGTCGTAGCGTAGTGATCCTATTTTGTGAAGACTCTTCTCTAAGGTTATGGATATAAAGATGAAAACAGTGCACACTGCTGCAACAGCCCATGTTGGTGTCTAATCGAGTTCACTTGTAGTGCGTTCTTCTTCATGATAGGGAGCAGTGCGTTCTTCTTCACCGTAGTCTTCAGATTCCCCTTGCGTCTCCTCACTTGTTCAGTCGTGCGACTCTTCCACTAGCACCTCCTTTCTTGGCAACCAAAACGCATGCTTGAATCGGTATTTTCGTCGGACCAAAGAAGAGGAAGAAGAACAGTTGAGAGACAGAGTGAGAGAATATTTTTGGTCAACAATTCATAAAATGTTTACAGTGGGGCAAAATTGCATCTTTATTTTTATTTTTTTTAACAGAACAACGTTGCTCCAAAAAAAGTTTAGGATACTAGTTGCTTCTCACAAAAAATGTTTCAGAGCATTTTTGCCATTTAACCTTTCTTTTAATCCCCAGTAGCTTTAACTCTCTTTTGTGAGGCGCTCTTCTTCTCTGTTAATTCAGACTCATTTATCAGTCTTGAGTTTAATGAAAGCAAGGAGGACTATGACCACGGACCTGTTTAATTAAACAAGTATTTGGAAGTTCATTTTCTTGAAATCTGCTTCAATGCAGATAAATGCGCACAGTTCCACTTTAAATACTTAACGACTATTAAAAAAATTGATCAATTTAATATTTCAATTTCTTAACAGATTAAACCAAAGGTAGCTCAAGTTTTTTTCATGTGGCTTAAGGTTTTTTTTTTTTTTAATTGTCTTTCACTCATTATATGCTTTGCAATTTCAGTTTCTTCTTCCTTCTTTTCCAATTCGGTATCACAGGCGATTACTTCAACCGCCAGAGCAGCAAATACATTCATTGTCCATACTCACAAATTCTCTATCCAAAGAATTAACTCATGGAACCACCTTCATCGAAACACTTACGAATGCACATATAAGATTCGCTTGGGCACCTTCATTTCTCAAGCCATTATTGGTTTCTAACCAAGAATAGAGAATCCCCTTGCATGGAAAATCATATTTTCCAACTAATTTATTATTTTATGTTCCAACGTACTATAATATTATAACTCATATGTGGAATATATTTAACTTTTATCAATTTTAATTATTAGTTCAAATTTTATTTAATTAAAAATAGCCATTTCAAATTTAACGGGCAAAAAAAAAAATCTCACTTTACCACTGCCTTTGGGTCAACGATCCTTGATTCATTGTCTCACTTACTCACAAGAAAATTAACATTAATTTTACTTATGAAAAATTAAGCATGGGCTTCTACAGTATATTTTTTAGGAAAAGTTAATTATTTTTCAGACCAAGGGGGTGCTTGGTTCGACTTGTCTAGGTAGTCACATTAGCTTGTCTTGGATCTTGATCAGCTCGAGTTTAGGATATGAAGCAGTGTTAAATAAAAATGCTGAAGGCATTTCCAAGGTATCAGCAGCCAGAGGTCACCATTGATTTTGATGCTTTGAATGTGATTATGCACATATGCAATGTATGGATAAATTGATATATGTGTTGAGGATGGGTTGTCAACTGTACTCATTTCTTTGCCAATTGATGTTGAAAAGTTATATATGCTTGTATTGATGTAATGATATATTTTTTAGTGATAACATGTGTAACACTACAAAAAAAATGACTTTTTTGAATCATTGCTGAAAATGAACAATCTACAAAGTTTGACTTTCTATGACGACATTCAAAGTCACCATTGAAATGGTGAATTTTTATGGCAGCAATATATAGTTGCCATTGATTGTCAAACTTTCAGTAGTGACAAGTGCATGTTCCCGTCAAAGGTCTAAGTTTCAATGACAAAGTATAAATTACCGTTGAAAGTTCACAATCAGTGGCGACATGTGAGGATTATTGAGACTTGTGATGTTAATAGCATGTCTCTAAAGAAAATTTTGTTTAGGTAGCATTTGGATTAATAGATTTGGATTTGGATTTTAGATTTGAAATCTTGCATTTTAAATCTCACATTTGAAATTCATGTATTTAAAATCATTTGTTTGGCTAGTTTAAAAAAAAGTTTAGATGAAGAAGAGGACAAGATGTTTGGAGTGATTAGAATTTTAAATAACTAGGGTGTAGAAGAAATTTGAAATTATAAAGAAATTATAATTTAAAATGGATTTGGATTTGAATCAAATCTAAATTCATAAATTTTTATGTATCCACATGACAAACTTGGTTCAAATCCAAATTAAATCCCCATTAATCCAAGCACCCCATTAAGTGTTCTGTGATTGTAAAATACTCCTTGAGAAATAAAACTTCATCATTTTTCAAAATAGTAATAATTTCCAATCAAATAAACCTTGTGGTTACAAAGTGGCGTTTGTCTTTTTGGCAAAATTGCATTAGAAAGTTTTAAATAAATGTCTTTTCCATAAAGATGGTTTCCGAAGCTTTAAACTGAGCCAAGGATCACCTAAATACAATATTGTCTAAGGTTTAGTTTATGAATTTATAAAGTTACCGTAAAATATGAAAGCCAACAAATAGATAGTAACTAAAAATGTTATATTTTTTAATAACATCTTATTAAAATATTATAATTTAATATTTAATAATTTAAGTATTATTATTACTTACAAGTCTTTTACACAATTTTCAAGTCAACTTTTAAGATATAAAAATAAAGGAGGACTTGTAAATTTTGGAGGAAGACTTATAATTTGTCACACTATTTTAATTTACAATTCAAATAGGATGGGAAACATATTCACCAATAATTTTTAGAAACACTAGTTGAGCTAGTTTTTATAAGAGGATTTATAAATTTTAGAGGAATATCTTATAAATAATAATATTTAAATTATTAAATATTAAAATGTATAATATTTTAATAAGATGTTATTAAAACAACTATAATATCTTTTTTTAATTATATATCAGTGTTTCCCGTGCTAGTGATCTGATAATTGTTTGGTAGCTAGTCAAAGCAGCTAGTTAAAATGTTATTTTTTTATACTTTATACTGGCAAGAAATAATGTTAATCTATTAGGATTTAATTATTTGTAATTTATGGGACTTAATTACTATAATGGTATTTTTTTGATAAATTTTAGGTTATTTTTTATAATTTTTCTATTTTTTCTATGTAATTTTTTAGGTCAATTAACTATCAAATTAACGAACATTGAATGGAGGGCTAATATTGCTCTATTATTAATACATAAGAGGCAACATTATATCAACCTTAACTTGAAGGTGTTCCGCACACTTAAAATAATTGAGGGACAAATTAGTATTTTAACCCTATTATATTTATGTGGCAATTTGGTTTATGTGATATTGATAGGGATTGTCTCTTGCCTTGAAAATTAAACTAAAGTTAACCCTAATGCAATATAGGGCCAATCCTAGGTCATCTCTCAAGGAATGGTTTTAAGTCTAATTTAAAGTTATCTAGTAAAATAAATCACACAAAGTTTGAAGTTGATTAAGTAAAACCTAATTATCTAGTGAATTAAACTAGAAAACTAATCCTCATTGTGAATGAAGTGGCTTCCCTATTCAAGTAGGAACCTTAAGGTGTTGCTAATAGAATAATCCTAGTTTCTAATCAAACATGGTAGCTCACTCAACTCCTCTCCCTTGGCTGAAAAATAAGTTTACTTAAGACAATTATCTAAAATACCTTAGCTTCAGTAATTCAATTTCCTAAGTGCTATTACAATCTCTCTAGGTAACCTCTAAAATTAACCAAGTGTTTAGTTAAAATTCATTTCTAATTGCCACTACTCAAGGCTATATCCAAGCTCAAAACTATGAAAACTCAAGCAACTCATCAAGTATTCATCACACAATTACATGCTAGGCTAATACAAGATATTTACCAATGAAAATCACATATTACAATGTAAATTCACGAGGAGACCGAAAATTCCAGTGGCAACAAGAGTATAAAATTCAACTAAACAATCTTGTTTCAACATTACAAATTATAAACAACCATAAAACTAAAGTCAAATTGAACCACAATCAACAAAAGTCATAGTATTCTAATGAAATTGAAACAAGATGAAGAAGTAGTTGAGCTTAGCCAAGTGAATACTCCAAAACTTCTCTTCCATCAACTCTCCCCTAGGATTCCATGAAGATTCTAGCTAGAAAACATCAAGAACATCTTCCTTCCTCCAAAACCCTTACTAGCCGTGTAGGTGTAGCGATGATCCATTGATGGATTGAGCTCAAATCTTCTTCCAAATATTAGGGATGTGGTCGGCCTTGAGAGGAGAAGAGAATGGTGAAAGTTTTGAGTGCATTTGGTAGAGAAATGGTGGAGTTATGGGGCTGGACGTGTGCTGGAATTAGAGATAAAAAATGGAGAAAATGAAGAACACCAAGAACAAGAGAGAAAGAGAATGTGGAAGATGAATGAGATGATGGTTGAATCTGAAAAATGGGGTGAATGGCATGAAAAAACTGGTTTGGCATCAGCTGATTACTCAATTAAAAAATAAGAAAAGAAATTAAAATGGAAATGGGAGCCTTATCACACTTGTAAGGTAGCACTCTTCTGTTGGTTGGTAGATGATTCCAATGTGTGCCTAATTTTTCATGTGTCATCTATATCATTTAGGCTAATTTAATCCCTCAAAATAATCAGAATTCATGAGCAAATTCTCAGCCATTGACCTCAAGGAATGTTGACTTCAATGGCCTAATTGATGCACAAGTCACATGCCACCTATGTCACATAAATCACATAATTCAATTAAATAGCATATGACATAATAAAATCCAATTAATGTCCAGAATTAAATTCATAATTAGAAGGTATAATTTATTAAAATAAATAAGTTTTAGACTACACAAAATTATATAAAAATTTCTACACAAAGACAAACCGAAAACTAGATCAAACTAAGACATTTTGAGAAGTTTTGACTTTTTATTTAGTTATTCCCAAACTAGAATAAATTTTAAAAATCTAATTTCACCACTCATCAACTTAACATAAAATGCACTTTGTCAATTTTTCTTGTATATTTTCTCAAAATTTCATTTTTTGAACCAAAATGCCCCTAGTGCACTAAACCTAAAAATTTAGGCAAAATTCCAAATCTAATGCAATGTGTGCATTTGAAGGTGATAAATCATGGGTTAATGAGCAAATAGAACCCTAAACTCTTACTCAAAAATCATCCTGAACCCTGAACTTTTAAAATATGCAAAATAAAAATTATACTTTCAAATTTATAGCAAAAAAAACCCTGATCGTTAAATTTTTTAACACTTTTACTGTTCACACGAATATTGTAACAGTCAGGGTTAAATTCATGAGAAAATAAACCCTGATCAGTACGTACATGGACAGTAATGGTGTTAAAAATTTAACAGTCAGGGTTTATTTTGCTATGAATTTAGAAGTTTAGGGTTTATTTTGCATATTTTAAGAGTTCAAGGTCCAGGATGATTTTTGAATAATAGTTTAGGATCTTATTTCCTCATTAACCCATAAATCATTAATAAAAGGGTCATAATTGACAAATAAAAGTGGATAATAAATGTCTTTTATCATATATCAAAAGGTGCAAAGAAGTGAAGAAGGGAATAGAGAATTGGAGAAGTATTGGGTTATTTTGGGAGGTTTGAAGTTGCATAGGGTGACATTGGTATGCCATTGTAATAGAAGGGGTCATATTTTGTTCCAAGTTCTTATAGGTGTGGTGAGTGCATTTGCAAGTCCCTTTTGGATATTCAAAGTGGGGCATGCATTTTTGGATGGTTTCAGTTTATTTAATTTTTAATTTTTATCAAATATAATAAACATACACAAGATTGATATAATTTAGAATTGTATCGCATTAGTCATAAATTTTTAAATTAAATTTGTCACATATATGCCAATTTGTATGTGCTGCATATATAGGAGAAAATGTCAAGGAATTTTTATTGATAACATAAATGTGATGTAATGCTAAAACTTTCATACTTTTTCATAAATGTGAAGTCATAATTTGAAGCCTCCATTGATGACCTCTTCTATAGCTGCTATTATTTGGACCTAATAATTAGTTTCTAGTTATCTTCAAAGAAGAGGAAGAAAGAAATGCATAATGGAATGATGCTCAATAATGCATATCCCAGTATATGGGGAGAGTATTCTTCAATGGCCAACCACGTCCTCACAAAATCCTTTAGGCATGCACATCATATAATATATATCTTAATCTATATCTTATAAAAATTCATTTGGAGAGTATGACTAAAATCTTGAAGGGTGACAGAAAAATTATTTAATTACTCAAACATAATACAATTTAAGTGGGTTTTCCTCTAATAACAGGATATGTTTCAGAAAATATAAACAAAGGACATATAGAGAAGAATAAGAAAAATGTAGGGCTCACATTGATTAATTCAGAAAACATTTTCTTACAAAATAAAATCCAAACTGTATATAAATATTTGAAGAAAATGAATGGACTTTGGGGCATTAGTATTCTAACCCGTAATGTTAAAAGAGAAAAGAAACGACTTGAAGAAATCCAAAAGTCAGATAATGAAGAAAATTTCAAATACTTTGTATATTATTACAGCACATGGAGTTACTCCAATTTGCAAGATTACTTGTTACAAAAAGAAATCTAAGGGCTGAAGAAATAATAGCTAAATTTTGATTTAATTACTTATTAGGAAAAATATAACTTTGAGTCTCTGCACATTACCTGAGTTTTGCTATAGGTCTGTGCGGATTTTTTTCGGTGTTCTAGGTCTACATACTTTTTTTTTTTTTGGTGCTTTGGATCCTTATAAACCATTCATGGAGGGACTTAAAATATAAAAAAAAAGTGCAGGGACGTAAATCAGAAAAAAAAAAGTACAGGGACATATAGCAAAACTCTAACAAAGTACAACGACCTAAAGTTATATTTTCCCTAACTATTATTCAACTAGTAGGGTCCCTAACATTTTCTTGAAACGAAGCCTTAATTTTGTTCAATGATACAACAACATTAACCATAGTAAGTCATGCCCCGGGTAAATCAATGCAATAATTTAATGCTAACTCAAAAACTAATAGTATATGTGGTAATATATTATTAGTATTTTGATTTTCTTTGTGCAGCAAATTGGCATCTATAATGGTGATGATTGAATGTGGTGTTTATTTTCTCACCCGATCTTTCAAACTTAATCCTTGAACAAACATCTCATCTGTTGGCTTCTTCCTTGTAAAGATTTCCATTAGCAAAATACCATAACCATACATGTCTCCTTTGATTGAAACAACTCCTTTCGATCCATACTCTATTATGCCAATTTGAAAAATTAGTATAATAGACATAATGTCAAAAACATAATATAAGATGTGGTTAAACATTTTTTTTGTATCATCAATTCAAATATTTACACATGAAGACATACAAGTCAAATAATATAAAATTTTATAAAGCATAACAAATAAAAGAACAAACAAATAAATCCAAAAAATATTATTAGACCATTATTTGGTGCCGTATAGCCAATTGTAGCCAAAGTTTTGGTATAAATTTATAGTTGTCTTTCACCAAACAATTTAGCAATGCCAAAATCACTAAGATGAGCTGCTATATCTTCATCCAACAAAACATTGCTTAGTTTCACATCACAGTGAACAACTAGTGTCAAAGAATTGTGATGAAGACTCCAGAGCAGCTACCACATCAATCACTATGTTCAACTTTTACAAGATGTTTAAATAATAGTTATGAGAGTACAACCATTTGTCTAGACTCCCATTTTCCATGAATTCCATTATTAGGGATTTGAAATGATCATTTGAGCAACAACTGATGACCTTAATGAGATTGCGATGGCATAAATTGCACATGGCAGCACATTCAATATTGAAGCTTCTTAATGCTTCTTTCATTTCTAACTTAAATACTTTGGTAGCAACTATTTTTGAGTTTGGAAGAGTTGCTTTGTATATTAATCCAAAACTTCTAGAGTCCAAAAGATTACTCTCATCAAATCCATTTGTTACTTGCCAGAGCTCATAATAGGATATCCTAGTTGGTGCCTCAATATCTATTAAATCCCCATTGGTTGAATCATTAACATGATCTCTCTTACACTTTAGAAAGACAATGCCTGAAACAACCAAAATGACAACCATGCATATGATAGGCAATGAGCATTTTATCAATAGCTTCAATTTATTTGACATGTGCTTGTGTTCTTTCCTGGGTGCACTTGTAATTGTGACTTCACACAAAGATCATTATTCATCATAAAAGATTCAGCAATAAAATTTTGAAAAGGCACACCACATGGAATTTCTCCATGCAATAAATTATTAGAAAGATTAATGTGTTGAAGATGGACTAATAACTCTAAAGATTTTGGAATCACACTAGACACATAATTATGGGAAAGATCCAAAGACTCCATACATGTCATGCTACCAAGAGATTCAAGAATATGCCTTTGTAATTTGTTTTGGGCCAAAGATAGGGTTTGCAAAGTTTGCAAGCCACCTATAGTTGTAAGGATACTTCTTGGAATTTGATTTCTTGACAAATTCAATATTATAATTGCTCTCAAGTTTGATACCTCTGGTGAAATCATTCCACTCAATGCACTAGAGGATATGTCTAAGACCAAGATATCTTTGAGACTCCAAAGAGAAGAGGGTATACGAGAAATCAATTTGTTAGAGCTAAAATCCAACTTTCGTAGAGAAGTATTCCCGAAGCATCTTGGAACTGCTCCTAAAAACATGTTGGCAAGATACAACTCACTTAGACTTTTGAGTTGACAAAGTTCATTTATGATGGACCCATACAATTTGTTGTTTCTGAGGCTTAAGTATTGAAGGCTATGTACTTTGTTAACTGTATCCGGAATTTACCCACTCAAATCATTCCCATCAAAACTATATTCCATCAAGTTTGTTAAATTTCCAAGTGTGTGACGTATAGCTCCGCTAAATTTATTCAATGACAAATCTAACGTAATGAGCTTAGAAGCATTTGATATGCTACTTGGAATTTGTCCAATCAGTTCATTCTCCTCCAGTGATAATTCCGTCAAGTAGGAAATGCCAACTCCTAAATATGATGGCAGAGGGCTAGAGAAAATTACGACTAAGGCACAAGCGTGTCAACGTTGAAATGCTGAATATATTGGAAGGAATTGGTCCTTTCAAGTGATTTTGGATCAGCTCTAAACGATTATGGTTCTCAAGTTCACCTATGCCTCTAGGTACAAAACCTGGACACGAGAAAGTTGATGTAAATCATGTCTTTTTATATAGATAGGATAAGAGAATTAAAAAAATAAATTTATTTTTATTAGTTTTTTTATAAAATTTTTAAAATAAAAAATTAGGGAAATCATAAACTACCCTTGAGATGACATGGTTATAAAAGATTCATTATAGAAATAAAATTTTTTATGTTGTAGTTGTTGAATAATATTTAATAGGAAATAATAAATTTGTAAAATAAAAAGAAAAAATTAAAAAATAAAATTAAACCAGGAAATGATGTATTCTTTAATTAATAAAGGGAAGAGAAAAAATGTAATGACCTTAAAATTTCAAATATATATATATATATATATATTCTCTCAATTTATATTTTATTTAAATTAGTTTTTTGACAAATGGAATGTGGTGATTTAGTGAAACTTATGCTAATAATTTATTTGAAGGTCTAGAGTTTGAATTATTTTGAGCAATAGGTTAAATTTTATTAGTTTAAAATTTTGAAAAAAATTACAAGAAGTGTCCGTTTCTCTTATGTTATTAAGAAAAATGCTGTGCCTCTTTTGTAATTTTTGTGATTTCCTAGTGTCTAAGTTTTTATTCTCCCACCTCTCGGTCGGACCACGCATGGAAAAAAAAAAAAAAGAGACTTCTAAATCTTCAACTCAAGGGTTCTATCGATGCTATCTCCCTCTGCTCTTCTTTGATTTTTCCGGTGAGTTTCCACTGTTGTGGCGACGGTCAAGTCTTCCCCTTTAGTCCGAAAATTTTCCTCTTCTTTTCTTCTCTTTTTTTGGTGGTGCATGGCGTTCTGGTCAGAGGAAGCTGGAGGATTTGGGCCAGATGTTTCGCATCTTCATCCAGCTCTTCGGTCCTCTGTCACTGTCTTCATCTCGTTCTTCTTCTTTTTCATCGTTCTGCAGCGTGTCGCTGGTGACCGTGGAGAAGTTCATAACTGTTGCTGTCTTCCTCATCTTTTTCCTGCTTTTATTTTCGTCCTGGTGTTGTTGGTGTGCGAGGAGCTGAGTAGTTAGAGCTAGAGGTTCTATTTGTAAGTCACTTTGGTTCTTGGTTGGTTGTTGTGGCTCTATTCCTCCCTCTCTCTAGCGCATCGCGTTCGGAATTTCCCTCCCCTGTTCAGCTTAAGGTGCGATTTCTTCTTCATTTTGCTGTCTTTGTTTAGTAATTTCTGGTACAGGAACTTCAAGTCTTCTTCCTATTTATTTTCGTGCGAGCGGGTGTGTGAGTTGATGATTTGAGTTGCAAAAGTTTTCTCCTCTGCTGCTGCTGCTGAACGTGACTGGTTTTATATATATATATATATATATATGCGTATGAAGGAAAAAACTTGATTTAAGATGAAATTTGTGGTCATATAAGAGAAGGAAATGATGGAGTGGGTTTGAGTTTTAATTGAAGTTAATTGGATTATTGATTATAACATTGCTATTGAAAATTTTAAGGAAGTGATATTGAGGAGGAAGAGGTTAATATGAGCTTAAAGATTGATGCCCATAAAGTGTTTGATTAAATGCCCGTTTGGAGAGTTTTTGCTTGACAGTGTATTTTCTAAAGTTCTAATGATTGAGGCAAAAAGAATAATTGATTCAAATGTTATTTAGTAGAGTTTTAATATGAGCATTGTAAAGGAATTTATTTAAGAAGTTATTGAGGTCTTATTTGAGTTTTGAATTATTCACAGTTACAAAATTAAAAGGTTATAAAGTATATTATCATTTTAAAAGTTATACTTGGATGCTTGAAAATAGTTGGGCAATAGAATTAAAGGTTTCGTGTTTTATTGAATGGTTTGGAATGTCGCACATTAAATGTTTGGTAAAAAGCCTAAGAAGAAGTCTTTATGAATAAATTGTGTTCTTAAAACTTCAAAATTATTATTGTAACTTTAGTTGAGTGGGTTCTCTCGAAATGGGATCTTATTGGTTTAAAAAATAAAATTCATTAAAATATTATTATATAGTATAGGATGTTTGGAAGAAGGGAAACTCAAATAGAGTCATAAGAAATGATTTTGGAGCCTTGAGGAGACTATAAGTAAGTAGATAACGTTTCAATCAATTTATATATTTAAAAATTTTCTGTTATCAACTATTATTTTCAATAATTTATAGTCATTAATATATGCCAACCTAGCATTGATTAATGTTGTTGATTAAGTTTCTTTAGCTCTTGAAGTTATTATGATTTATACTTATAAGATTGGCAGAAATGCTTTTATAAATTCTAGTACTCTTGTATTTAATAAAGACAATCACGGAAATGGATGAAGAAGTTTATGGAACGTTAGTTGTGAATTTCATATTTTAAAGGATTGATATTGTAAACAGTTCATGCGAATTTGATATTGAGAAGAGAAAAGTTTATTTTGAAAGTGATGATTTTCTCGCATGTTTGAAAATGAATTTCAAAGGGACTTTATATAAAATACTAATTGCTAATGATAGTTCCGTTAGCTCTTGGTGCGTCATGGTACACCTAGCTAGCAGGGTGTATATAGGAGGTATGAGCCCCATGCGATGGCCAATGCACGTGAAACGGAGGGATGGTTATTCGTGAGCATCGCACTCATGTTTGTTTCGTGGCTTCAGCTGTGTTTGGTTACATACCCTCATGGACAGTGTGTTCACGTTTGTTTCGTGGCTTCGGCTGCGTTTAGTTACTTACCCTCGTGGATTGTGTGTCCATGTTTATCTTCGTGACAAGAGCCGCGTTTAGTTATTTACTCTCGTGAACTGTGTGTCCACATTTGTTAATTGTTCTAATAAGCCCCTATTATATGAATTTGATTATTTGGTAATTTTACATCCCATTGGTTTTAAATAGTAAATTATTTATAATTATTGATTTTGTTTATTTGTTTCCTTGCAATCAAGTGATAATATTATTTAATATGAGATTTTAATGGTTCGAAATTTTATTTAAAATTTTATAGAATCATTTTATTTTGAAGTTTATTAAACTTTTATAAAGATCGTTGCCTCTTTAACTTACATAATTGTTTAATTTTTTTTATGTTCAATTATTTATTGTTGGGACGTTATTCATTAAAAAATTATTTTTGACCTCAGATATCCATGTTGATATTTATCCTCCTGTTGATCTATGAGAACTCATAGATGTGCTGGGTAAAGAACTGATCGAAATTTCCCTTTTTATGTAACTATCAATGCTTATGTATTTTATTTTGGAATGATCTGGTTAGGTGCTCTACATATGCTACATCCAAGGCTTCTATTTTGGTATATATGATGTCTGTTAGTTGAAAGGAGCTAAGCTCCTGATTGACTTGATATTCTATGAATATTTTTGTATTATAGAGTTTTGGAAGATCCTATTTTATAGGGAAGGTTCTGTCGATTTTTTTTTTTACAAAAATTTTGAAACTTTGTTATAATAACTAATATCAGAAATGTTAAAATTTCATTATAAATTTGATTACATTTTAGAAATGGAATGAATTTAAGATTACAGGCTTATGGAGATGTGATTTACGATTCACATCCTGTGCCGGTTACCCTCAATTTTGGGGCGTGACAAAAAAATAGAGTTGAAGTTGTTGGGAGAGTGACAAAATTTGCATGCGCAAATATATATAATAGGGAGAATCACATTCAGCCCCCTCTTAAAAAAAATTTGTTACAGATAAGGACTAACAACAAGTCCTATTCGAGAAAAAAAAACAATTCATGTTTATTTTAACAACTATCCGTTATATATTAGTCCTTATCTGTGATTAATTCTTTTAAGAAGGGACTAGATGTCATTTTTCCTATATAATATGTGGTCATGCTGTGATTGGAAGAAAGAGAAGTACAAGAAAAATTGTATTTTCTCTTGCTCAGTTTGAAATTAAAGAATTTGCAAAATAAAAGTTTGAAACAAAAGGTTAAATTGATAAAGAATGTAATCTTGTATAAGGGGAGAGGAAGAAAATGTAAAATTAAAATTATTAAGAGAAAGATAAAATCTAAAAAAGTAGTAGTCGCATAAAACATGTGGACCCATTATGTATGGTTTGAACTTGGAGTTTTTTTTTTTTTGTGGGAAAAATCATATTGAAATCCCATTTATAGATTCTAATTTCTTTTCTTTTTTTAAAGAAAAACACATGAAATGTCTAAATGACTCAAAAATCTGAAAGACTTTAATTGTAATTAATTTTTAATGTTGATTTACTAAAATATCCTGATTCCTGCAAAGCCCCTCCAACTCCTCCTGTCATAATTGAAACCACCAAGAATCTCGTCAGAATCGCACCCACCACCGTCTTCATCTACAGTTGAAGAGTGCTTGCAAAGACATAAGGAATTCAGCATTATCTATCTCTCTCTTTGATGAGTGTTATTATTTTTCTCCTTCTCCCTCCTCTTATCTCAGTACTGTAATTGCAAGGCGACTTATCGTTGGCTATTTTGGGTGGTGGAGGAGGAGGAAGTGGCGGCAGTAGCGTTGGTAATTCTTCTATCACCGGCGCAAGAAAGAGGGAAAATCC